GTCAGGTCACACATCGTATCACCAACTGGTCTCCTCGGTATAGAGATTCCGGAATCCCTTGATATGTATCACCATCTGGGGTCATCTTTTCAGAATGGGCACTGCGAATAATGGCACTCACACGGAGAGCCCAATAAGGGACACCACATAGTGTGATACTGTATATGGTACCTTTATTCCAGACAGTGAATATGTATGCAAGACAATAAAAAGTTACTGACCATGTATTCAGGATGGCCACCAGCGGTGGTCAGATGTCCAGTTTCTGTAGCCCCCCTGACGCGTAGTCATAGTCGTAAGCCCTGCACCCTATGACTACGTGCTTTGCACGAAACGCGTCAGGGGGCTACAGCAACTGGACATCTGACCACCGCTGGTGGCCATCCTGAATACATGGTCAGTAACTTTTTATTGTCTTGCATACATATTCACTGTCTGGAATAAAGGTACCCTATACAGTATCACACTATGTGGTGTCCCTTATTGGGCTCTCCGTGTGAGTGCCATCATTCGCAGTGCCCATTCTGAAAAGATGACCCCAGATGGTGATACATATCAAGGGATTCCGGAATCTCTACACCGAGGAGACCAGTTGGTGATACGATGTGTGACCTGACCAGGGAACAGATGACCCACTAATTGCGTGGTGACGCAGGATTTCATATTGCGTATTTTAAACACACTTCTGGTGAGTGCGCATTTCATTCATTTTAAACAAAGCATCTGTCACTCCCGGATCAGGATATCCACACACTTGGAATTGTGATCCCTCTGGATCCACACGGTTTTCACCATATTGGACAATCTAATCACTGGAAATCACCAATAGGTGATATCACTTACCTGCACTTGTTGTAATATTATTATAGAAGTGTGTTTATATCGTTATAACATATTTATCTAATCGCTCATCACTATTTAGCGCTGCACATGTCCTTTTTGACTTAATGTTCTATTTTAATTGTAGTGATGAGAAAATTTCATGGAAGCAGATGGAAATTTTTTCTTGAGGAAGTGATTTTCTAGCAGTGAACATAATTTTTGTTTTGGGAAAGTCCATGCATTTCAAAATCAAATGTAAAAAACTAAAATTTTTTGGAGTAATTTTGAATGACATCTGTCATGTCATGAAATGTACTGAGAAGAATTTGTACAAACATTGGAAAATCTACTAGTATATAGCCAGCTTTAGGCTGTAATTTTGTCATCTCATAGGTGGATCTATGTGGATCTATGTTCAAATGTTAAAATGCTGGCCAAGTTAGCAGTGTAATTGGTAAAAAAAAAAATAACACTGTTAAACCTTCCTGCTGAAATACTTCTTTAGATTACCTCGTGCTGCACACAAAACCCAATACCCTAACAATTTGGTCATAAGTTCACTTCTAAAAGAGAGAATTATTCTGTAGATATTATGTGATGAAAGCCTAGGCTTTTGGTCAAGTAAGCTACCTCAGAAAGATGCTGGGAAAAATTTTTTGTTTAAGAATGTACACCCACCGACCACTTTATTAGGTACACCTTGCTAGTACCGGGTGGGACCCCCCTTTTGCCTTCACAACTGCCTTCATTGTTCGTGGCATAGATTCAACAATGTGTTGGAAACATCCCAGAGATTTTGGTCCATACTGACATGAGTTACTGTTGCCTTTATATCATTTCGAACCAGTCTGCCCATTCTCTGATCTTTGACATCAACAAGGCATTTTCGTCCACACAACTGCTATTCACTGGATATTTTCTCTTTTTTGGACCATTCTCTGCAAATCCTTGAGATGGTTGTGGGTGCAAATTCCAGTAGATCAGCAGTTTTTTTAAATAGTCAGGCCAGCCCGTCTGGCACGAACAACCATGCCAAGTTCAAAGTCACTTGAATCCCCTTTCTTCCCCATTCTGATGCTCGCTTTGAACTTCAGCAAGTCATCTTCACCATGTCTAGATGCCTAAATGCACTGAGTTGCTGTCATGTGATTGGATGATTAGCCATTTGTGTTACCAACCAATTGAACAGGTGTACCTAATAAAGTGGCCGGTGAGTGTAATATTAGCTTGTTGCCCTTCTTTTATCCATTCCAACAAAATAATTAACACGACTCAAGCCGGCCATACATGGATCAAAATTCAGCCAATTCAACAGGGGCCAAATGAATTTCTATCCATGTATTGGCAGGGTGGCTATACAGAAATCGATCTACAGATTAACTTCTATACAACTGCCCTGTTTGTACTTGCCCTTGGGTACTTGTCACCGAAATGGAATAAACGCCGAAGCTTAGACACGTTTACACCTATTTTTGCCATGTTTGGCTTTTTTGCCAAAACGTTCCTCTCCTAAATGCAATTCTTTGTTTAACTGTCCCTAAACTCGGCAGCTGCTAAACTCTGATAAAAGCCTATGTGTGCATGGATACATAGGGGGAGATTTACTAAAACAGGTGCACTCAGAATCTGGGGAAGCTGTGCATGGTAGCCAATCTGCTTCTAATGTCCCATACACATGATAAGAAAATCGTACAAAAAATTTCACGGAACCACTGATCGAACGATTTTCTCTTCGTTGATGAGCAGGATGTTATAACCAATAAGGATATTGTGAAAGAAAAAATCCGGTTGAACAACAATGAAAAATGTTGTCATTTCGCATATGAACGACTGATTTTCTATGCGGTGGTATGACGGTCGTACGAAAAAATCTATCAAACACTATCACACATGAGCGGAAACAGATGACCCGGATGTTTATGTCCAAGGAATCTTCATAAACACGAACGAAAAATCCAAATGTTAAAAGTAGATTGGCCGAATGATATGATGAAACCAGAATTGTGCAAATTATATTTTATGTATCACTATTTATGTATATAGGTCATGTAACAAACGATATTATACTCATTGCTGGTAATTGTGTATATCGCTCGTTCTGCCCGGAAGGGCGTGGCTACAAGGTCACACGCACACCGCATCACTTCCACTTGTACGGAAGACGTCAACATTATGTATTGCCTGATGAACAATTTTTTTAGATTGGTTAATGTGGGCCATGGTTTCAACCAACGAACGAATGCCTCTCGGTCGTCGGATGAATGATCCGTCAATTTTCTAATTATGTATTCCCACCTTTACTTCAGCTTGTTCATTTAAGTTTTGACAACTTGGAAGCTGATTGGTTTCTCTGCAGAGCTGCACCAGATTCTGCATACTCCAGTTATAGTAAATAACCCACATAGGCTTTTATTGAGTTGAGTTCAGGAGCTTTGGCAAAAAAACGTCAAAAGCTCCTAAACTGATGTTCCGGAGTATGAGTTTATCTCCAGTCTTGCATGATTTGGTCAGATAACACAAAACTGCTGTATGCAAGATTAATACCCTAACAACTGTGTTATCAGATGCATTTCTGTAGACCACAGCTTTTCTGATCTGTACAATGCAGGGGCGGACTGACCATTTGGAAACTCAGGCACTGCCCGAGGGCCCGGGGTCATTAGGGGGCCCCATGAGATGCCCCTGGTACCTTTTTCATAGGCTTTTTTGAGTTTTGAAAAGGACACAGGGGCCCCATGATCCCCTATTGCCCGGGGGCCCCATGAGTTGTCAGTCCGCCCCTGGTACAATGTTTTGAGTAAACACTGTCCTTTGTTACATTCACAAACATTATGCTTCCAATTCAAAAATTGGGAAATATTGGGCAATTGGAGTTTCAAGCATTGCAGTCAGTTTGACATTCTGTACCTGTCAAGTTAATTAGATACTGAAACTGTAAGGGACTTTTCCGCTGTTTTATTCTGTTTGTGCAGGCTCCATATAAAACCAGTGCACACAGTTGGAAATGTTGAAATATTTCTTGTTGCCATGAAGGAAAAAAGATACAGCTTTGTTAAAAGAATACAGCTGTGTCAGTTAAAATATTTAGCTAGGCGCTTAATTACAAAGCAAGGGTGGCTTGCCAGCTTTCCTGGTTGCACACATGTTGACGTGCACTTTGTGTAGCTCTACATGTATGAAGGTCCATGCGTACAGAAGGTGCCCAACCTGCTGTTTGAATATATAAAAAAGGAAGCTATGGAGGGGATTTACTAAAACTGGAGCTACCTGGAGCTACTCTGGTGCAGCTCTGCATAGAAACCAATTGGATTCCTGGTTTTATTGTCAAAGCTTAATTGAAGTTGAAGTTAGAGGCTGATTGGCTTCCATGTACAGTTGCACCAGATTCTGAGTGCTCGAGGTTTACTAAATCTCCTCCTATGTCTCAGACTAGCGGTCCTGACTACCTCATTTTCAGTTGTAGTATTTCAGATCCTGTGTTTCTGTTTATCCTTTTGACCTGTTGCCCAAAGTTGTGGTCCATCTAATTGTGGTGTACATCTTGCTCTTCCTCACTTATCTTTTGAGTTGCTTGCTTTCATACCAGACTCTGTTTACTGATTGTTTGTTTAACGTCAACTTAGCCTTTGCATACTGCTCTGACTGATTTCCTCCAGTCTCCAAATTTTCATGTGTCTAACTATACCCTGACGTACTGATTTTGTGCAAACATCTTCTGATTGACACTTCTAAAGGCTAATCTTGGATTCCTGACAAACCATAGTAAGGCTGTGCCACATCCAAGCCAATGGACCTGCATACTCCTAGCGTCAGCCATTATCTGAGTCCAGTGAACTGCTATGGTTTTAGATTACAACAAATTATTTAAACTCAACCCAGAACTATAGTTTAAGTTATGCATATCCCAATTCTTCAGGATTACTTGAAAATCACAATTCTGAAGTCACTTTGGCCTGGATACAAAAACATTATTTAAGGCAATTTCTAATGACATAAACACAGCATTCCAGAATATTTCTATAGATGATGTTAGTTCTGGGTGAGATCATGGAAAATGTTCTATTAGCTTCATGTTGTTAATGATTAATATCAGCAACAATGAAGGATGATTGACAGTCCCAGCAGCACACTGGTGACCAACAAGCATATTGGCATGATGCGGCCATATAGGTGGTTACCACAAAGAGAGTGACCGGCTCAGTAGTAGTTGAGGTAGTGAATTCTTGTGTTGTGCTTATGACAGTAGTGGGCACCGGCTCTGTCTGCTCAACTGCAGACTTTTTCTTCTTCTTTTTGCCCTTTCTATCCTTCTTTTTACCTTTCCCCTTGCCCTTTTTGCGAGGGGCAGGCTCCGGGGTGGGATGTTGGGCCAAGAGAGGCTTCAGCAAGAGGAATTTGAAAAGGAGACACCAGTAAATGGAAAATTAGCATAAACCAAGAAAATTACATTAAATATGCACCAAGAACAGAAATAGTAGACCCAACTTTAAAAAGACATGTATAAATAAATGAAAAAGAAATAGATACTGTACATAGACATAAGGATTGATACAAACCAGAAGAGGTACCTGGAGCATGGTAGAGAAAGTTTATGTGTAGAAATAAGGAATCATTTAACAATTTGCCACTTGTACTTGTACTCTACCCTAATGATTACGTATCCTATTCCTGTTTGACATTATATTGGACCCTTAGATTTTTAACAAAGTCATAAACAAAGGTGGGGAATGGGCTTTTAAAAATAAGTTATTTACAGTGATACAGTGATAGTGGTTCTATCATTTTGTACAGGTGAAATGCTATTTTATATGGCTAAAATATGAAAAGATCATATTGAGTAAACAAGGCTGCAAATGTTAGCACACGAGTTTTCTAAATAAACTGTGATGTACCCTTTTTTTGCACATTCTTTTGGGGCAATATACACAGTATCTCCCAGAAGCGAGTACACCCCTCACAATTTTGTAAATATTTTATCACATCTTTTCATATGACAACACTGAAGAAATGACACTTTGCTACAATGTAAAGTAGTGAGTGTACAGCTTGTATAACATGTAAATTTTCTCTCTCCTTAAAATAACTCAACACACAGCCATTAATGTCTAAACCGCTGGCAACAATGGTGAGTACACCCCTAAGTGACAAGGTCCAAATTGGGCCCAATTAGCCGTTTTCCCTCCCAGGTGTCATTTGACTCATTAGTGTTACAGGGTCTCAGGTGTGAATGGGAGCAGGTGTGTTAAATTTGGTGTTATTGCTCTCACTCTCTCATACTGGTCACTGGCAGTTCAACATGGCACCTCATGGCAAAGAACTCTCTACGGATCTGAAAAAAAGAATTGTTGTTCTACATAAAGATGGCCTAGGCTATAAGAAGATTGCCAAGACCCTGAAACTGAGCTGCAGCACTGTGGCCAAGACCATACAGCGGCTTAACAGGACAGGTTCCACAGAGAACAGGCCTCGCCATGGTCGACCAAAGAAGTTGAGTGCACGTGCTCAGCATCATATCCAGAGGCTGTCTTTGGGAAATAGCCGTATGAGTGCTGCCAGCATTGCTGCAGAGGTTGAAGGGGTGGGGGTCAGCCTGTCAGTGCTCAGACCATACGCCACACACTGCATCAAATTGGTCTGCATGGCTGTCGTTATGTATATATATATATACACATAACCCTGCTGCTTATCATGTTGTTTAGTAAGAGGGATGTAGTAAACCCATTCTTGTGCTGATTTACACTGATAATAGGCACTAGCCCAGCTCTGAGGGTATCGGTCGGCAGAGATCAACAAAGTAAGTTGCTGACCTATAGGATTTCCACATATTGAAAATATTAGTTATATTGGCTGTATTTAGACTGATCTTTATGTGTACACATACTGGGAGAGAAGGCAGGCTGTACAATAATAATTATAATCATTTTTGGTCCTAATAATGCTTGATTAGTGCTTCAGAAGGAAAGGCCTTTTCAACCAGTCATAGACCATCCACCTGGAAAATCGAATGGTGTAAATAAAAGTTGACTGCTCAACTTGGCTTACTCACCATTATCCAGAGTAATAGCAAGACATATATAGTTAACATTAAAGTATACCACACTAATACCGCAGAAGAAATAACAGTAAATGAAGCAAGAAACATGATTAGAAGTGCCTATGATCCAGCAGGAGCAGAACAGAGGGAGTATGGCTGTCATAGTTCTGGTCTGGGATGTTTCATTCATAAATCTTGGCAGGGAGGATTCCCCAGTTGATGTCTAATGGAGTGCTAAGCTGAGAACCAGAGAAACCTTTTCCTCAGTGGTCTGTACCCCGCAGGTGCAGAGAAAAGAGTGACACTGTCAGAATGTGACTGACCTCCTGGCATAGCTAGACATTCTGCTAGGGTGTGCACAGTCTTGCAATTTGAAAAAGTGGCAATCAGTTTCAGCAAAAATTACCTATACAGTATGAACAGGGTGGATTACACCCCTGGCACCTTTTTAACTGATCAGTTGAGGGAACAGTGTTCCAAAATCCTTTGAGTTCAAAAACAGTCAGAGAAACCACAACTGGGTGTGTGGCCTAAAATTTTCCAAGCCATTTTACCATGCTCTGCACTGGTAGGTACACCAATTGTACTTGTGTATTACAAGATGAGTTATTTGTTTCATACCAGCTCCATGGGGCCCCAACATTGCTGAATGTGGACATTTACATGCTTTGTATATCCATTCGTCACTGGTCAGTGTGACAATAGGTACACAAGGTACAGTGTTCATGGCTACTGTAGGTATTCACCACTGTCACTACTTATTTATTTGTGCATTGGGTTGTTTAGTCACTATCCAGTTATCTCCTAGAGTTGAAGCTCAATAAAAAAGAAAAATTGTCACCACTGGTGGAAGGTAGGAGGGCCTGCAATCAAAACCTGCTACTCTAACGAAGGTAAGCTATACATTAGTTAGCTGACATGTACAACAAACAATTTTTATTTATTCAATTGACTGGTGAATGCATGTCCATTGTGTCCACATCTGACATTTCTGGCTGTATCAAATGCTTGGATCCTGTAGTGTAGGGGCCAAAGGAAGGGACAACAGAGGACAGTGGGGCACACAGGCAATGTAAAATACTTAATATTTTGCAGAGGCTGCAGCACTGGAAGACAATGTTTTTTGAACTCAGAGTGGTCAGTTTTCATAGACTTCTATTGTAGGTAGCTTATCAACTTAATCAACCTGGTCTTCCACCACTGCAAAGTATTCTGCATTTTACACTGCTTGCCACCCCTGCTCTACTTTGGATTTTTTGGGGGGAAGCAACAGAGAGGCTTTAATGGATCACTTAATATAAAACCAGCGTGAAGGCCTCTAACCAAAACTTGGTCTACTGTGTTTGAAAATTTGCACAGCAAAAATGTTGATGTGTTTTAGTTCAATTTGCATTATGACAGCCAATTGCAGCAAGAAATGTGCATATGTGGAAAACCATGCCTGAACTATTAAGGTAGTAGAATCAGTATGATATGTAAACTATAATTCAGTGTCCCATGTGGCGGGACTCACATTTGTTCTTGTATCATATTTAATTTTATCTGCTGTATGCACCTGTAATATCTTTGTTTTTATCTGCACATTGGATGGTTTTACTCCTCTCTTGTATTTCTGATGTACAGTATGATCACTGTTCATCCATGGTCAATTTCAGGTCTGTAATCTGTAGGCTGTGTAACAATAAGCGTGTACAAAAGTACAGGTGTCACTCCTTAGATACACCAGAACCTGCCCTCTGTGGAAGATGGTATAGCCCTCGAAATATTAAGAACATTAGTTCTTAAATCTACTGTCTGATGTCGTCCAGTTCCTCCTAGTGAACATCCAGGTATTGGTGTATCTAAGGAGTGACACATGTCCTTACTACAAGTTTATTATTTATACGGCTTTTGTGAGTATATTTTATTAATAAACAGTCCCAAAGGTAATGCATGAGGCTTGCGTGCCCTTCTTTTTTTTTACTATTCGGTGTCAAAGATTTCCCCTATCTGAAGAGGGCAGCAAAGCTTGAAGCAGAACCAGTTACTACATTATGGAGTTGAGTCATCTATTCCTTCCACCTCCAGGACTGGTTTATAGTACCTTGTTTTACTTTAGTGCTGATGTGTGATTTCTTCTCTTCTTCGTTCTCAAATTTTTAGGGATTTATTCTCAGCCTTCATAATTCTCCCCCAATCACAATATTGGGTGCTGGAGCAGAGGTCATGTGAATAGCCAAGGAACTGACCAACCTTGATCACTCAGATCTTCATTTTATAATATAAGCAGAGATGCCCTTTAATAGTGATGTATTTATGAAGGTTTTACTTTTTAGGGAATTGAACTTTATAAATGATACGAGTAATCCAACTTTAATCTGTTTTTCCATCTGTGAAATCCTGTTAGTATTTTCAGCAATGATCCAGCCTTTTTGTGAATTAATCACTGTGATGGATAGGATGTGGAGCCGGAATAGTGCTGAGCTATGAGATGATGGGGCCTGTTCCCCAGGGGTGCTGATGACACATCTTCCAGGCCTGGTTTTCCTTGCTGCCTCCACAGCCGTACATGCCAGTGCTGTGAGTCACACTCGTGTGAATGATACACAGCAAGACCCAGCCCTTTGGCCCAGCTGTTACTCTTCCAGCTGTGGTGTCCTGGACATCCCATCTGCTGAATGAAAATCCTGGCACAGAGCACGGTGTCTGCCCCTGCCAAGAACCTTTTCCATTTCACGCCTGCTCTGCTTGGTGGGAACCAATGCATCCTCGCTGTTTAGCCGGGTGTATGTTGGCTGCTGAGCGCACGCTTGCTTTTTTCGTGTATTAACACCAGCAATCCAGTTTTGTCGGATATTTGTTTCCATGTCAGTGGATATTTTTATTAACCAACTACACATATAATTTTTTAAAGGGCCTCTCAACCTCAACTGCTGCTCATTAAAGCTTACCGCCAAGCAAACAGCCTAATATACATATGTGAACCATCTAATCAGCTAAATGATATTGTTCATTTATAGTGTTGTGTTGCACTCAACCCAAAACCATTATCAAAATTTCATCAAAATCGCTGTGTGACTAACCATATTAAAGTGGTAGTAAACTCTTTTTTTTAAATTTTACCTACAGCCGGCGCATGTGCTTTGAAGGAACTGCATACCCGTGCCATTCCTTCAGAGCTGTGTGCCGTGGCCCAGGACAGCATGTCAGATGGCCGGAGCTTGGGAACCCAGA